CAGAGGATGCTCTGGCAGGTATGCGTAAAATCAGAAAAACATAGTCACCCAGTGTGTCCAAATTCCTCTCAAACTCCTCTCCTGGGATTGGCCCAGCCTGCCGACACCGTAACTGGTCAATGTGGCATCTGACTATGCAACCATTTTTCAAAGCCACCTCGTAAGACAATGGTCCCGTTACTTTAGTAAATCTAGTGATAACCCAGGTAACCTACCCATAGTTTTTGGTCCATACTAGTTCACCCAGCTGTAGGTTCCTGGGAGCCTTTGGTTGAACTGTTTCTGCTGCTGTCCTGTCTGGGTGGAGTCAGTCGAGCTTTGTTGTGAGCCGACGGCCCCACCTTAGTTCTGCTGGGCAGTGACCTGTTGCAATGCTAGGAGTTGTGTGCTGGCACAGGAGAAAATTTGCCAGGTGGTGATTTCAATCTCCAGTTGTCATCCCTTGAGCGATTCCTTGATTGACCTCACCATTCACTCGGCCTGACCATTGGAAGTGGGGTGGAAGGGAGTAGACGTTGCGTGCCATATCATGTTGGCGTTTAGGAATTATTGGAATTTGGCTGCCGTGAATTGTGCCCGTTATTGAACACGATGATGTCCAGCAGACCGTGTGTGGCGGAGAGCTGGTGCAGCTCCTGGATGACCCTAGCAGTGGTCATCGATGGGACAGGTACTACTTGGAATAGCTGTCCACGACAATGAGGAATACCTGTCCCTGGAATGGGCCCGCAAAGTCAATATGCACGTGAGACCATGGAGCGTGCGTGGTTTTCCAGGAGTGCATGGGTGCTTGGGGCATTTCTGGTTGGGTCTCTTGGCAGACCTGACAGCTCCTTACTTGGGTTTCAATGTCTTTGTCCAGGCCTGGCCACCACAAATAGCTCCTGGCTAAAGCCTTCATCCTCACGATTCTGCAGTGCCCCTCATGTAGGGAATCCAGCACCCTGGCTTGATGACTGGGTGGAATGATGATCCTGCTGCCCCACAGCACATAACCCTTGTGGGCTGACAGTTCATCTTTCTGGCACACGTATTGCTGGAACTCACATTCCCTCAACACCCAGTTGAGAATGCAGCTGAGCATTCTGTCCATGGGAGTTTCAGCGGCCACATCCCCTGCACGTAGGGGTGTTTCTGGTAGGACCTGGATTGCCAGGATACGCATTGCCAGGGCTGGGTCCAGATCCATCTATGGCAGAGGCAGTTGGCTGAGCATGTCAGCATGGCCCATTTCCTTCCCTTGCTTGTAGACTAACCTGTACGAGTAGGCAGCCATGAAAATTGACCATCACAGCATCCTTGGTGACAGGATCTGCAGAGTTTGCTTGTCAGCCATAAAAAGGCCAAGCAGCAGTTTGCAGTCTGTGAAGATGGTGAAAGATCGCCCATATAAGAAGTCATGGAACTTTTTAATACCTGCAACAATGGCGAGAGCTTCTTTATCAATTTGTGCATAGTTCCTCTCAGTTGATGATAAAGTTCTTGAGTAATATGCAATGAGGGCTTCGTGACTGTCTGGCATTTGATGGCTTAGCACTGCTCCAATGGCATATGGTGAAGCATCACAGGCTAGCGTTACTGGCAGTTTTTCATTAAAATGAGCCAACACAGAGCTTGAGGATAGCAGCTACCTGGCCATCATAAATGCCCTATCGTGGTTGCACGACCAGACCCAGAGCACTTTTTTGTCCAGTAGACAATGAAGTGGTTCTGCCAGGGCAGCCTTGTGTGGCAAGAATGAGTGGTAGAAGTTCAGCAAGCCTAGGAATGCTTGTAGTTCCCCCTTGGATTTGAGTTTGGGGGCTTGTTGAATTGCCCTTAGTTTGGCCTCTGATGAGTGGATTCCAGCAGCATCTATTCGGAACCCTAGGAACTCTGTGAATTCCACATCAATTTGGCACTTGTCTTTTTTTAGTTTTAAGCCTGCCTCACGGAAACGTTGAAGTATTGCCCAGAGATGTTCCGCCAGGACTGCCGCTGATTCCCTTGCTGTCATGTGTCTGACTAATGAAACACTTCAAAGAACTTTCAGGCATGGTTTAACCTAAAAAGCCTTTATTAATGTTAAGGAGTGTCAGCATGGCATGGAGAATGCCAAGAACTGAATTTCCCTTCCTTTGCACATAACATTCCAGGCATTTCCCCTCCCCTATTTTGAGGTCATGATTCACATCTTCCAATTAACCTGGAGGGCAAAGATTCGCTTCCGTCCCCTTCCACGGGCTTTTCTCTCCTCTCTCATTCTCATCTGAATTAACTCTAAAAGTACCAGACAGTTCTGCCTATTTTGTCAAAGCAAGAATATTCAATATTAGCAGCATTGACACCTGCGATCAGGACATCGTCAAAGTACGGGCAGACTCCGGGTATGTTTTTAAGTGTCTGTTCCATGATGCTTTGGAACAACCTGGGGGCTACGCTTACCCCAAACTGCAGGCAGTACATTCAGAATGCCCCTCTGTGTGTGATGATGGTTTGTGCCTCGGCGGTGGCATCGACTGGCAGCTGCTGGTATGCTTGGGCAAGGTCTAATTTAACAAAAAATCAGCCTCCTTGAAGCAAGGCGAGTATGTGGCTTACCACCGGAACTGGGTAAGCATGTTGCTGTAGTGCCTTGTTTATTGTGCATTTGTAGTCTGCACAGATGCGAACATCCCCATTTGGGTTCACTGGGGTCACTATGGGAGTCTCCCACAGGCTACTGTCCACAGGTTGGAGCATTCCCTGCCGCACCAGTTTGTCAAGTTCCACATCAATCTTTGGCTTTAGTGTGAAGGGCACTCTGCACGGTTTCACTCAGATTGGAGTGACTGCTGATCAAGATTGAGTGAAATGGGCGCCCCTCTATATTGTCCCAACTCCATGCTGAAAACATCAGCATATTGTTAGCATACTGCTGCCAGGCCAGCTGTTTGTGTATGATGGATACTCATCATACAGATGCCCAGGGCTTCGAACCAGTCCAGTCCAATGAGGCTAGTACGCTGTCCATCTACGACCACAATGCTGAGGGGACCCTCAAACTCTCTGAACTTAACTCTAATGGTGGCTTCCCACTTATGGAAACATAGCAATTCTGGAAGTCCGTTAGTATGAGGCTTGATGGCTTGAGCAGAACTCGCCCTTTGCCTCATCTGCAAATATAATCAAAAGTTTTGTATGAGATGATTGATAGAGCTGACCCAGTGTTTAGCTCCATGGAGCATGGGACCACTTGAAGTCTAATTTGGAGTTTTAACTTCTCCTTGAGGGTGCATGGGCTCCTGTTCATTGGATACTTTGTCTCCCTGAGCAGTATCCAACCTTGTTCTGCCCTGGGGCCCATTAACCTTTGGGTGTGGAGCCGCAATTCACATTTCTCGTTGGCTACCTCTACCGACTCTGGGGATGTGCCCTTGCTTCCCATAGATGCGGCAAAAAGCTGTGCGAAATCTGCACTCTGCCCTTTTATGCTGTCCCCCGCAGCTAGTGCAGTTCTGTGGAGATGTTGTTTGCTCTGTTGAGTGTTGCTGTCTGGGTGGCTGTCTCTGCAACCAATCAATCTCATCATTTTCATTAGTCTCTCTCGGTCCATCTGCGGTCTTGTGGTGGCTTGCTGTGGGGCTGGTATGTGTTTTTGGTGGCCAGAGAGCCTTCATTGCTCCTCCAGCAGCCTCATCCGCCATGACTTCATTTAAAGTGTCTTGGAAGGTCAGTTTTTCCATGGTGAAAGCTATTGTAGCTTTCTATTCAGCAAACCGCAAACGAGTCTGTCTCTGAGGCAGTTATCCAAATCTGGAAACTCGCAGTGGCGTGAAGCTTGTCGAAGTGCAGCCATGAACTCAGCTGCCGATTCTCCAGACCTCTGCTCTCATTGCTCAAAAGCATGGTGCCAAGCAATTATGGAGAGTTTCAGCTCAAAATGTTCTTTCAATCTTCTCTTGAGGTCTGTGTATGTCAGTGACTCAATGCTTGCCAGTGCTACCAGGTTTTCTGCCCGCATACACAGAGTAAGGTCGCTGCCTTCAGGTTACCATCTCTGATCTGGTTCGCCTGTAGATACTTGTCCACTCGGGAGACATAAGAGCTCCACTGCTCCGGATGGGGGAAGTCAAGCTCATTGAGCCTTCCGAGTTTGGCCATTCCAGGAGTTCTGTGAGGTCCTAGTTACTGCCTTTACTGCTGTGGAAGGAGCTGTGTTGCCTTTGATCCTGGGGACAGATCTCTCAGGATGTCTATACCTCCAGTGTGTCTTACTGGAAGACAGGGCAGGGAACATGGTCCCACCAGGGCTCTGTGCCTGGTCTGACACCCAGTGACTTCAGTCTCTTAGCTCGCATTAGCTCTCTTCCTGCTATATCCCACTTTCATCGCCACTCTTGTGTAGTAGGTTTCGTAGGCAGTAACCAGACCAGTGTAGTACAATGGTGTTTATTATGTCATAACAGAACTGTCAAATGCCTGTTATTTATACTTTCCGCCTCTAGGGCATCAGCCAATTGCAACATTAGCTCGCTCCTGCCCAAACTTGAATTCTTGAAGTTTCCCTCCAAAACAGTTGGAGATACATTAGTTTCACAACACATTAATATTAGTTCTTAATACATAACAACTTTTGTGTTCCATGATAAATGTGTTGAAAATTAAAACTGTTAAACAACTCCCCTGGAGCACTTCAGAACTAGGTTCCAGATTGTGAATCAGCATTCTTAATAACATGCTTGAAAAGTGAAACTGCAATTCAAGAAAATAATTGATAGAAAAATACATAATTAATTCCAACTCAATAATTGCTACTGATTCTTTAATGTTTGTATCATGTAGTTATAAACATTTTCAGTATCACAGCACAGTTTCTTCCCTTATGTATGTCAATATACTGTATAGGAGGTATCACAGAATGTGAAAAACCAAGGCTATCACTGGGAAAATTAAAAACATTTCAGAAGAGGGCAATATTGAACTGCATGATGAACACATCCATGAAATCTGCAGGACACGCATACACATATCAAGCTTACCTTTAAAAATGTATCCAAGGATCCATTTTCCATATATTCAGTTACAATCATGACTGGTTTACCTGGATAAAGTAGATCAAAAGCCCATCACCTGTAGCTACAGGAACAGCAGATGAGTAATCATGTGCTTTTGTATATATAACATAAAGTTTAACTTCTTTATGCTGTTTATATATAACAGAGGGTATAAGATGGCAAAAACTTACTTAGAAGTATAATACAGGTAGTGCCCGGGTTTTAACTGAAATGGAGCCTGCCCATTACGGTTAGAAATCAGGATGACCATTAAGTGAACTTCCTCACTTAATAATCCCCTATCCCTGCTCTCTCCAATGCAATCATTAAATGAATGCTCTACCAGCGTTAGCTTCACAGTGTTAGTGAGGAAAAGAAAGCAGACAATTTCTTTTCTTTGCTAAACCTAGTCTTACCTCTGCCAGCTTTAGCTTTGCTGGCATAATACAAGGAAAACTAATGCTGGCAAAACTATGGCTAGCATTAGCAAGGAAAAGAAACCTTTGAAAGGATTATTTTTTGCTAAGAAAAAAGACATCCGCTTGTGGTTTGTTCATGTGACTCAGCAACAGACCGCCACCCTGTTCTTTTTCCCTATCCTGATCTCTTAGGCCCTGGAGATCTTTGAAAGGTCATGAATGATTGTTGACTAAGGTGGGGAGGAGTAAGTGGAACCCCGTGGAGTGGCAAAGCAGGCAGGGCAGAATAGGGAGAATAGGCAGGGGGGCACTGAACGTCCTGCAATCTGTCATAATGGTGAATGACCATGGAGGAGCTATAGTGGCTGTAATTTGAAACTGTTTTGGGGGGATGTCTGCCATAACTTCAAATGGTCATTAAATGATTAATCATAAGTCAAGGACTATCTATATGTTTAAAAACATACTTGGAAATTTATGTATGACACACACATTCATCTGGAGAATGTGATTTGCTGCTATTTCCTAATGGCAATTTTTGGTGTTCAATCCATATTTATCCCACTGTAACAATAAATTCCTGATTTAACAGATTTCAGTTTTATTGAGCTTTGGATACAACAGACAAAATTTGCCCATGTAGCAAATGCTTCTGTGCAATTGTAAAGTCTCACTTATTATTTATGCATGAATAAATATGTAAAACAAGCCATGCATATAATCCCATTTAGCTTAACTGATATTCTGTTAAAACCTATTTTCCCCATTTGACTAGTAAATTGATAGTTTAAATCAGAGGTGTCAAATTTCCAGCCCATGGTCCGAATGCATCACGAGGAAACCACGCCTACCCCATTGCCGGCAATGGAGAAAAAGTTCTGATACGTCAGCGATGTCACACGATGTCATGAGTTTGACATGCCTGGTTTAAATGGCTTGTAGCTAAACTCTCTGTTTTAACTTACACATGCAATTCCTTTTTTGTAATTTATATATTTAATAATAAAAGAGTTGATGTGAAAACACCATTATCTCTCTATAAGCACATTAACTAATAAAAGTAATTTGAAATGTATATACCCACAATATTTTAGAAACAAAAAAAAATCAAAGTTTCTCCACAAAAAGAAAAATAAATATTCATAACTCTTAAAGTAAGCATATATGCAATCAATAAGAAATTCACACTTAGTTGCCATATTAAAGTTAAATTTTTGTCTCCTCAATATATATAGCATTAAAAGCACTCAAGGTGACTGTAATTAAAAAATAGCACATAGAAATAAGGAAGGAAGCTTGAAATGGGCCTTATCCATTCTCAATCTGCTCAGTCCAAAGAGCTGTTATAATTTCCTAGGACCTAGGAAATAATATGACTATCTTTGAAAGGAATCCTTTGGAATCAACACTGAGCCCATTGCTAACAATTATCTTTTTCTAATCTTATCTGGTTAATCTTTTGCAACTCTAATGATAATTGTCTCCAGTTATTATATGTAACTGTTCTCTGGTTTGGCAAGAATAATTGATCTAAAAAAATAAGTGAAATTCTGCTAGAACACATATAGGTAGTTCTCAACTTATGACTATATTGTAGTCCAAAATTTCTATTTCTAAGTGAGACAGTTGTTAAGTGAGTTTTGTCTCTGTTTTGTCCTGAGCCTGCGGATGCAGGCTTGGGACTTTGCAAGGGTCCCGGGCTTGCAAAAGCTGCCCGGGACCAGAGCAAGTGGTGCCGGCTTTGCGCATGTGCACAAGGTGCGAAAAGGGCCTTATTATGTAACCATGTTGTCCGGGGATCTGGGCATATAAAAAGAGGACTGCGTGCCTCTGTTCGTTGTTGGAGTTTTGGCTGAAGTACAATAAAGAGTGTTATTCTACACAAGATGTGTCCTATTCCTTTACTTTCATTTCAAGGACTTAACACTGGCGACGAAGGTGGGATGCTTCAACTGGTAAACAACAGGAAGCTATAAGACTCACCCAAAAGAAGTCCTGCAGAGGGAAAACGGCGTTAACAGCAGCAGCCATCCTGCCAGTACAGTGTCACTGGAGGGTAAGTTTGGATGAAAGACCCTTTCCCTGAAGAAGCGAGTTGTGAAGCGCCAGCCACTATGGCGAAGATTAGCCGCTTGTCCGAATTCATCATCTCACACCCAGAAAGATGGGAGTCATACATTGCAAGGATGGAGAACTACTGCAGAGTCAACCAAATTCGTGAAGAGGGGCTTAAGGCTGCCACATTGTTGTGTGTGTGCGGTCAAGATACTTTTGAGATTGCTGAAAACCTACTGGCCCCTGCCCTCTGGAAGGTGTAATGTATACAGATTTGAAAAAGTTTCTAAAAGAGTACTTCCAGCCCAAGTTGTCTGTCATTGCATGGAGACACACATTTGAACAAAGGGATCAGAAGGCAGGAGAATCTTCTAAAGAATTTATTGCAACCTTGAGACGAGCAGCCAGACTGTGTGAGTTTAAAGACTTAGAAGAGAGGCTGTGTGACCGTTTTGTATGCGGGTTAAGGAATAGAGACTTACAGCAAAAGATCTTCGCTAAGGAAGATGTCTCTTTCCAAGATGCTCTGCGAGAAGTTACAGCAGAGGAAGCAGCAGGAGGGGTAGTCAAGAACATATGGGCCCAACAGAAGCTCTCTGGAGACCTTCACCATCCACCAGGAGAATGTGCGACAAGAGTCAGAAGAAGTTCCTGAAGATGAGGTGGACAAGCTTTACCAGGCATCTGGAAGAAGACAGATGGAGTGAGCAGAAAAGGCTTCAACAGCCCTGCAATGCTTCGGTTGCGGAGGACGCCACAAATGAGCTGATTGCTGGTTCCGTTCCGCCATTTGCAGAGCATGCGGTAGGCAAGACTCATCTGTTTGAGCCATCAGAAGGTACAACCTAGAGAAGAATTGCATCTGAAAGGTACCAGGGTCCCCAGCCAAAATAGGGTGGGTTTCTGCGCAACACGCAGAAATGTCCTAAAGACAGGCACACATAAACCCCTAAAGAAGAAACTGTCCCTTAAAGTAAGGTTGCAGGGGGTTCCTTTATCCATGGAATTGGACACTGGGTCCGCTCTTTCCATAATTTCCCTTAACACATTCAGGAAGATTTGCAGCAGTTGTGGCCTTCAAGTTAAACTCAGGCCACCCAATGTGATTCTCACAGACTTTCAGAATTCTAAAGTGTGTGTTAAGGGGGAGGCCACCCTTAAGGTACAGTACAGGAATTTTGAGGGTCCTTTAGATGTATTGGTTGTTGAGGGTGAACGCACGAGTCTCATTGGACTTGATTGGTTTGAGGCTCTGGGAATCCAAGTCACAGGGCTGCACCATTTGCAAACGCTAAGCCTTGCAGAAGTCTGCAAAGAATTTGCAGATGTGTTTAGTTCTGAGCTTGGATCCTATAAGGGGCCTCCAGTTTCATTACGCTTAGATCCCTCCATAACACCCATTAGGGTCAAGCCCAGGAGGGTACCTTTTGCCCTCAAAGGCAAAATTGATGCTGAACTGGACAAATTGCTCCAGCAGGGCATCTTGAAACCTGTAGATTCCAGCCCTTGGGAAACTCCCATAGTAACGCCTCTTAAGGCAAATGGGGACATACGTATTTGTGCAGATTACAAGTGCACACTAAACAAGGTACTACAGCAATACGCTTATCCAGTACCTGTAGTAAGTCACATTCTGGCTTCCCTAAAAGGGGGGCACATTTTTGCGAAACTTGACCTGGCACAGGCTTATCAACAGTTGCCTGTTGATGAGGCAGCTGCTGAAGCTCAAACGATTGTGACCCATAGAGGAGCTTTTAAAGTAAAGAGATTGCAATTTGGGGTGAACGTAGCCCCTGGTATATTCCAAAGTGTCATGGAAAACACATTGAGGGGTATTCCCGGAGTCTGTCTATATTTTGATGATGTCCTCATTGCAGGGGACTCATCTCAAACATTGGCATAAAGATTACGGGCTGTCTTGCTTTGTTTTAGGAGAGCAGGCCTTAAGTTAAAAAAAGACAAGTGTAAGATAGGAGTCAATTCTACTGATTTTTGGGGGATTCAGGATAGATGCTTAAGACATTCACTCTTCTGATGCTAAGTTAAAGGCCATTCAGCAGGCCCCAAGCCCTAAGTCTAAGGGTAAACTTCAAGCCTTTTTGGGTCTTTTGAATTTCTACCATTCATTTCTGCCAAATAAAGCTGCAATAGCTGAACCCTTGCATAGGCTCTTAGACAAACAAGCCTGTTGGCAGTGGACCAAGGTCCATGAAAAAAGTTTCAGTGAGGTTAAGGCCTTGCTTACTTCTAATGCTGTGTTAGCTCACTTCAATGAGCAACTACCTGTTTGCATTGCCTCTGATGCTTCTCCATATGGAGTAGGGGCAGTTCTTAGCCATCTGATGGCTGATGGGACACAGGTGCCTATGGCTTATTATTCTAGAACTCTGTCTTCTGCTGAGCGTAATTACACTCAGATTGATAGGGAAGCACTAGCCATTGTGGCTGTCATTAAGTTCCATGATTTCCTTTATGGCCATCACTTCACAGTCTACACTGACCATAAGCCACTGCTGGGGTTGTTTACTACTACCAAACAGACTCCACACATTCTGTCTCATCGTATGCTGCGTTGGTCCATTTTTCTATCAGCATATGACTACTCTTTGATTCACAAACCTGGAAAGGAAATGGGCCATGCTGAAGGCTAAGTAGATTACCCCTACCAGTTTTGGAGCCTGACCCTACTCCAGCAGTTAATATTCTGTCCATTCAAGAATTGCCTGAGTCTCCCCTCAATGCTAGGGATGTGGCTGCAGAAACTGCCACTGATCACACACTTACACACGTGTTGTCATGGGTATTGCCAGGTTGGCCTGACAAGCGCCTTGATACTGAGTTCCAAAGTTTCTGGCATAAGAGGCATGAGCTGTCCACTTTCAAGGGTTGCCTGTCATGGGGAAATAGGGTAGTAATCCCTGCCTCACTGAGGTCTAGAATCTTAATCTCTCTACATGAGGGACACCCGGGGATAGTCAGGATGAAAGCGCTTGCACGCAGCCATTTGTGGTGGCCTGGCCTTGATAAATCCATCGAGGCCCAGGTACATGGATACCATGTGTGCCAACAGTCCTGGCCTGAAATGCCTCAGGCCCCAGTTCATAGGTGGGAGGAAACCCTAACACCATGGCCTAGGGTACATATTGATTACACTGGGCCCTTTCAGGGGCAATTCTTCCTAGTTGTTGTTAAAAGCCATTCCAAGTGGCTAGAGGTTGTTCCTATGACCTCCACTACTACTGCCAAGACTATCCAGGTGCTGAGAGGTATTTTTGCAGCTCATGGCCTTCCAGATGTTCTGGTTTCAGATAACAGTCCTCAATTCACCTCTTCTGAGTTCCAGGCTTTTCTTCAAGCCAACCTGATCTGCCATGCAACTTTGGCTCCTTTCCACCCATCCACCAATGGGATGGCTGAGTGTATGGTGCGCACCACCAAGGATGACCTCAAAGACTAACTTACAGTGACTGGCATCACAGGTTAGCAGACTTTCTTCTTGCACATCGCACCACACCTTGCACATCCACCAGGAAGAGCCCTGCTGAACTCCGCTGGGGTCGCCGGCTCATTACTAAGCTGGACAGGCTGCATCTTGACCGGGTGATGTCTCAGGTGCCACATCCATGGGCTCCAAGGTGCCTTCACGTGGGTGAGCCGGTTTGGACTTGGAACTACGGGCCTGGTCATATCTGGGTGCCAGCTGTGGTCTACAAGGTCTCTGGACCTCTTTCCTATGAAGTGTCCTTGGACAATGGCCACGTACTTAGGCAGCACATAGATCAGCTCCGTGTGCAGCTGGACTTACATCTTTCCGCTCCTGGTTCTGTGCTGGGGGGGAGGAAGGTCATATAGTGCATTTTGAGGATCAATGTCAGCAGCCATTATGGGCAGCTGAGGAGAACATTGATCCCCCATCCCTAGATTCCGCAAATGCTCCAAACAGGAATTCATGGGGCAGACAATTATTCCACACATCCAGACACACTCCAGCCAGGGAGTCACCCCGGGGGCATCCACATATTCCACACAGAACCAGTAACACTCCAGACAGGGAGACTGACTGAGGGTATCCACATAACTCATATAATGCGCAAGAACTGGCAACACAGCAAGGGAGCAGTTTCAATTCTGCAATTGTTCCCAGAAGGAGGTCCTCTGTAAGGGGGGCAAGCAGAGAGGCTGCTCCTGATTCTGGAACCTCAGGCACCACATCGGGGTCCACAGAATACAGGGGGCCTGTAGCCACTCTGGATTATCCCCCCAAAAACCATGGAAGCGAGGGACAGTGCTCCCAAGAAGGGTCTATTGTGGATCTGGGGACTAGCACCCCTCCAAGAGATGTGGAGTTGAGTGTAGAGGGCTCAGCCAATCAACAGAGGGGCAGATCAGCCAGGTACGGGGACCAGCAAAGCCCTGACCTATTGAGCTTGGCAGGCAAGCAGATAGGTCAGGCAACAACACCAGGATCTCCTGAAGTAAGCGGACATCCATGTTGTGGCTCACCAAACATGGTCATGGACTGGACCCAGAGAACTATCCCGGTCCGAGGAGGTTGCAAAGGACCAAGGGTCCCCCTAAATATCTTTCAGACTTTGTAAAACTGCTGTAAGAATACTGTAATAATGTAATTGTTTTGGTTATGATTAAGTGTTGGTAATGAGGAATCCCTTCCATGCTTGGTTGTCAGGGTGTTCCAAGCTAGGGGGGAGGAGTGTTGTGTCCTGAGTCTGCAGATGCAGGCTCGGGACGTTGCAAGGGTCCCGGGCTTGGAAAAGCTGCCTGGGACCAGACTGAGTGGCACCGGCTTTGCGCGCATGCGCAAGGCGCAAAAAGGGCCTTATTATGTAACCATGTTGTCCGGGGATCTGGGCTTATAAAAGGAGGCCTGCGTGCCTCTGTTCGTTATTGGAGTTTTGGCTGAAGTACAATAAAGAGTGTTGTTCTACATGAGATGTGTCCTATTCCTTCACCTTCGTTTTAAGGACTTATTTTATGACCTTTCTTGCAACAATTATTAAGTCGATCACTGAAGTTGTTAAGTTAGTAACATGATTGTTAAGTGAACCTGGCTTCTGCATTGATTTTGTTTGTCAAAAGGGATCACATGACCCTGCGACATTGCAATCATTACAAATATAAGTCAGTTGATAAGAGTCTGAATTCTGATCATGTGACCATGGAGATGCTGCAATTGTTGTAAGTATGAAAAATAGTCATAAGTCACTTTTTTTCAGTGCCATAACTTTGAATGGTCACTAAACAAACAATTTTAAATCAAACACTATCTGTACAGACTTCTTAACGTTAACTTTCATTATTTATTCTAAAGAAGCTATCCATTAATCATATGTATATTTTGTCTGTCTTTCAAAAATAAAAACTCAGTAAAATGCTCCCCCTTTCTTACCCATTTTATTTTCACAACTATTTTAGAAGGGATTCAGTTGAATTACATGCTGTTAGGAATGGGAGGTTCAAAATCAATGTTGCTTTTAGCAGCAACAGCCAAGTATTTATTAGCTTGTTTAATTCACTTATCATGAAGTCAAGGTCACAAATTCAGAAAGTCTGCCATTTCTACCTGCTTTCTTATTAAAATTCAGATTTTCTAGAAATGAAAAAGACTTTTGTTTAATTGATTACTAAGAACATTGTGTTGAAGCTCATATTTCTAAGGTCAACATTGTAACCTGACATAGCATGTACCCCTGCTGTTGCATGACATCATTGGATATTAGATTAAGGAGAATATTCAGTACAATGTATGAGAATCTAAGGGAAATTATACAATATGCTAAGAAAAATACATTATTATATGCTACTTTAGAGACAATATTATATTTCTTAAGACTTTTTATTTCTTTCCATCCTAAGCTTTCTGTTTAAAAACAGAGAAGGATGTTGCTATTTTTTTGGGGGGGGGGGAGAACCCAGAACCACTCCCTAACCTGAAAATAAAGGAGGAAGAAATACATGCATGTATTAGTCTTTGCATAAGAAACCAGTATTTTATTCTGACTTCCAAGTATGTTTGACTACTCTGGTTTTGAAGCAATACAATATGAATAATGCTTGAGAAGATAAAATGGATGATTCAATGGCTTACTAACTTGTCCATTATAGATATTACAGTTAGATATATTAACATTATTGGAATTTAATGCCATCAAGATATTGCTGTATATAGTTTGTATAAGCAATGATAATCAAACATTCATTAGTATTTGGTACATACTCTTTGTTACCACGCCTTCCAGGTGTATTATGTTGGCATGATCAAATTGCCCCATTATGCTTGCTTCTCCCAAGAAATCCCGTCTTTGTTTCTCAGTGTAGCCCACTTTCAGGGTTTTAATGGCCACCGGCAACTCACATTTCCCAGGAATTTTCAAGCGCCCACTGCATACTTCACCAAATTCACCTATTTAAAAAAAAAAATCATCCCTTAATTAAAAGAATTAAAAACTAAAATCTGATAATGCCTGATGACTTTTGCACATAAATCTTAAATTTTTATTAATATTTCAAGTTTTTTTCAAAGAGAAGGTCAGATACAACGTTACTGATGGACTAACTGCATTTTTGTTCCAAGTCAACCATAATCCTTTTTGAAAGAGACTGAGTTCTGGGAGACAATCCAAGTTATCCAAGGAGCTTTGCCATTAAATGAAGACTTGAACCAGATTTCTGTTTATGAACTATGTTGCTCCTGATAGATGATCACATTTTTATTTTATGTTAAATTAATATTGATTTATCACCATTCATAAGGCTCTGTAGTGAATCATTTTATCTACAGAAAGCTTAGTTTTGCTTTTATAAATAATAATTTTATCAGTGACAGGATCTAAAATATAATTTATTTTCAGTTCATTTATTGGAAATCCATTTGCATTGAATATTTATTAATGCATTCCAACCATCATCCTAATACATGCAAAAGAGAGAAAAGCATTTCGATTTTCTTACCAGCTCCAATAACTCTCTCAATTGATATGTATGACACTTCTATTTCTTTGGCAAATTCATGGACAGCTTGATTAGGGTCTTCATAGGTATGTGGATCAATATAGGCCTTTACTCCTGGTAGTTTAACTGTATATAAAATTACTTATTACACATCTCTTTACAGTATGCAAATAAATTAAAATGAAGCAGCAAATTTAAAAAGCATAATTACCCTGTGATTATGGTAAGGTAAACAAGATGGTCCAAAAAAATTAATCAATAATTCAGATCAGTTGGGTTTTAAAGAGAATTAGATGATTGAAACATATTACAATTAAATAGGCAGTTCTATTTAATTAGGGAATGTTTTTCATAAAAACTGCAGGCATCAGGCTACACTTAAAAGGAGCATTTTTCTCCCTTTTCTCCCTTTTTTATTTATAGAGGGAACTATGACTTCGAAGATGTACCCTATTGTACTTCTTGCTTCAGAAATTTGGTTATTAGTCTTCCATACACTAAAAAAAACCTGTAATATATTATTGAATATATTTCAAATATATATTTCAGTAATAACTTAAATTGTAATTAAGTTATAAATTAGAAATTAAGCTGTAAATTGGAATTAAGAGTTATTTGCAGTATATCTGTAATAGAAATAAGACTACTTATTTCTTTATGGTGCTGGTAATTAGGTAAAGGGACAAATTTTTAGCAATTTTCAGCAGCTTTTGTACCCATTTCAGAAAGACAAAACAAAACAGAAAAAAATCAACAAATGAAACAAATGAGGAGTTCTGCAGAGTGGGGATATAATGCTTGTTTCTTTCTCCATTCCTACACTGGAGTGTGTGAAGCAGAGATTTATTATATACTGGATGCTGAGGATATGTATTCTTCTGCCATTTCCATAAATTGAGTCACATAAATATTAAACTGTACACTATGCACTGTAAAGACCGGCAACAAAAAAACCCAAAAAGCTTTTGAAGAATTGTTTCCAATGATTTTTACTTACTGTGGCCATTATGAAAGTGCATTTTTTCTTCTTCAGGATCTTGTTTAGCTTTGCTATAGCCACACCGCCTGTCATGGAAAAATTAAAATTAATATATATATATACATATATGCATACTTACATACTATAATACAGAAATATGCCATTATTACTTTAATAAATAGAGCAACACATGGAAAGATCACTTAAACGTTAATAAGAAGAGCGCTGTGGAGATTAGCATGTTAGAGTAGTGATGAAAGTATTTCCTCACTAAATCAATGGTTTCATTAAACATTACATTTCAGGACCCAATCTGGGTTGGTCACCGTGACCAGAGGTTTTGTCTGCTTTTGGATTCAGGTTGGAGCCAAACTTCAGGGAACTTCTCTCTAGCAGCGTGTGTGCTGTTCTGTGTGTGGTATTTGTATATGGCTTTTTAGATGCTGATTGGAGTGTGTTGAACATTACATTGTCATAGATCTGGCTGGCCAGGAATCATATTCTAAAGTGTTTGGCTAGTTAAAAGCTGGAGGGACAGAGAAGAAAGGTACAAAGAATATTGTTTGTTTTTTTTCCTTACCTTCCGCTGAGAAGGAAACCAATTACAACAGCCAAAAGAATCACTCCCACAGTAACAGATACAGCAATTACAGGGATCTGACGCTGATCGCTGGATGCAACTACTGCTGAGAAGAGAAACAAAAAGGGATATGATGGTTTAAAGGGCTGCCAAGACTCAGAGGGGCTTCAACTTAGAGACTAATGGAGAAAGACTCAAGATTCTTTAATACAGACTTAAAGAAAATATGATGATCAAACACAGCCCTGTAATCCTGGGAGAAGATGCAGCTCTTTTAAGGAGTTTTTAACAGCATTCCCAAATATTGGAAAGAATGCTTTGTCTATCAAATTAACAGACTTAAAGTTCCAATATTTATAGTTATTAATATTTAATTCTGATTATCTGTTATACAGATCATGCACAAATTTAGTTCTAAGTTATTTAAACTGAAGTTACAACTGCACTGAATAAAGTGGCTTATGACTGGTCTTTGCTCTTAGGACTGTCATAGCATCCCCATAATCATGTGATCAAAATTTGGGCACTTGGCAAATGACATGTACTTATAATGTTTGCAGTGTCCTGGGATCAGGGGATTGCCATTTGCAATCTTCTCAGCTGGCTTCCAATAAGCAAAGTTAATAATAATAATAATAAAGTTGGAAGGGAGCTTGGAGGTCATCTAGTCCAACCCCCTGTTTAGGCAGGAAACCCTATACCATTTTGGACAAATGGCTGTCCAGTCTCTTCTTAAAAACTTCCAGTGTTGGAGCATTCACCGCTTTGGAGGCAGGTTGTTCCACTGCTTAATTGTTCTCAGCATCAGAAAACTTTTCCTTAGTTCTAGGTTGGTTCCCTCCTTGATTAGCTTCATTCATTGTTTCTTGTCATGCCTTCAGGTGATTCGAGGAGCATCTGAGATTGTTACCAAGCACTGAGATGTTCTAACTGTCAGGTAGTTTCTCCTTAATTCTAGGTTGCTTCTCTCCTTGATTAGTTTCCATCCGTTGCTTCTTGTCCTGCCTTCAGGCGCTTTGAAAAATAGCTTGACCCCCTTTTCTTTGTGGCAGCCCCTGAGATACTGGAACACTGCTATCATGTCCCCTCTCGTCCTTCTCTTCATTAAACTAGACAAGGGGTAGGCAACCAAAACACTCAAAGAGCCACTTGGACACTTTTCCCACCGAAAACAAAACACTGGGAGCCGCAAAACCCTTTTGACATCTAAAATGAAGATAACACTGCATATATCCTTTTTTACCTTTAATATATATCCCTCTGCCCTCGGCCCAGCTGTCCTGTTGCAATGCATTCTCTGTCCCCTTTTTCTTTCCCCTGCTCCTTACTCACTTTCCATTTGTCATCCCTTGTCCTGTGGAGTGTGAGAGGAGGGAACAGCTCAGAGATACGGAGGACTTGGCCAACCAAAAAAGGGGGGGAGAGAACTTCCCCAACCCAGGATCGTGCAAGGCAGAAGTAAGCAGTAGCATACACATAGGCAGGGGAAGCAAGAAAAGAGGAGTCATCGATGCGAAAACCCTAATCAGAACACAGTCAAACCAATTAGGACCTGTGACGAAATCCAGAAGCTGGGTGCAAACGGCGGTTTACCTATAAAGGAGCTCTCCCATAGACCAGCATTAACCCTAACGATGTCAGAAGTCTCTGACGAAAGCTTGGTGATTGGTGATGGTATTAAACTTTTTTAGTTTATAATATTCCTGGTGTTCACGTTTTTACTGGTTACTTAGAAGATGAATTTACCCAGGAATCACGCTTTTATTTTTATTTTTAATATTATTATTTTATAAGACGCCATAGTAGTAATCATCATGAAGAGGAATCTCAAGTGCAGACCACATGCATTACCTTACTATATATTAGCAATGTTTCCGAGACCACGGCCAGATTGTTGGCCCCCTATAACATAAAGGTGGCTCATAGGCCAGACCAGACTTTGCGACCAAAGATCATGTGCCCCAAAGACCAACTCCCCACTGCAGAAAGATCAGCGGTGGTGTACAAGATCAATTGTATGGACTGCCCACGTAACTATGTGGGTGAAACGTCCAAAAGGCTGAAGACTCGCTTGCACGAGCATGAGTTGCCAATCAAGAGAGGTGAGCAACATTCACAGGTCTAGTCACATATGGTTGAAAATGGCCACCATTTTGATTTTGACCACATTCAGGTCTTAGCGAGTGAGGCCACCAAAGGGGGCCGATTGTTAAAAGAGGCGTGGTTCTCTGGAAAGGATTCTATTAACCAGCATATAGATATGTGCCCGGCACAGCAGGCGTTAAGGGCATGGCACATGAATCAGCCCCTCAATTGCTGGAGAAGATTAACGTATGGGTCACGCCCAGGCCAGGAGGGGAACGTTGCCACTGCTTCATTACATGATCAGATCGACATGGACTCTAATACTCCCCCATGGGTTACACCCATCTGCTCTGTGATGGACCGACGGCCTCAAAGAATCCCCCCAGACAGCAAAACGGGCAAACACATCATGATGACCCGATCCCATCAAAAGAGGGAAAGGGATTCCCAGTTGACGAACGGGGACGGCTCCTGTGATCAGGGGGGAGATCGCTGCTGATAAATGGAATGGAATGCCTGCGATGAGAGATGGAAGGATGTTGTGAATTGTTGTGGGAACGCGCGCCTGGTGTGCTCGGTGCTAGGAGCGCGGCACCAGAATCAGCCTGCCCATTGTCAGGGTGAGCTGGAGTGTGGATCGCAGGATCAATAGAAGAGCATGGAGATCGCTCCCCTTCGTGACATCATTAGCACGATCCCCAACACCCCTGGGCGTGTTGTAGGTGTCAAGTTGGTTGTTGGTCATCAGGAGCGAGGAAGCTCCCCGGCGGGCAAGATTGGACAGGAGGCTAGCGAGTTGCATATTGGTTATCAACGCACTGCCACCGGTGTAATAAAGAAACACTTAGATGGATATGGCGAGGGGGCCGTGGGGGTGGATATTGATCAGATGGGGACGGTGCCCATGGATACGGGAACACATTGCAAAAAAGGAGGCGGCACACCCCGGTCACGATTACAAAAGATGAATAAACTTGATTATGGTAAGGTTAAGGTGTATAGTGGGATTAAAGGAGAACTGCACCCCCCAAAGAATGGCGTCATACACAGGAGGATGAGGGGGAAGGGAGACAATCACCATTGGCAAGCAAAGGAAAAAGAACTCCCTCTAGCCCCAGAATTAACAAGGAGAATACTTACAGCAGAGTACGGAGGAGGCATGGGAAAGCACCACGCATTGACGTCAGTGGGGTATCTGAGATACGGCACGATCAGCTGGGTCCGATAACACATTCTAGAAGCCGTATACAGGCTGCTAACATTGTATAAAGGCTTCTTCCCAGTGACTACTTTTAAACCCTGATGATGTTGGGTGTTCCCAACGAAAGCTTGGTTCATTAAAATTTTGTACTACTTTTTCTGTTGGTGATCGATATTTATGTGTGTGTGTGTGTGTGTGTGTGTGTTTTCTGAGGTTTTCGCGGGTGTTTGTATGTAGGTCTTTGGTTATTCGGGTTTTCTCCCACGTAAAATTGGAAGTGTCTTGGTGACGTTTCGATGAAGTTCCATTCGTCATCTTCAGGCTGGTGTTTTCAGCTTCATGCTCCTCGAAGCACGAAGATGAAAACACCAGCCTGAAGATGACGAATGGGACTTCATCGAAACGTCGCCAAGACACTTCCAATTTTACGGGGGAGAAAACCCGAATAACCCAAGACCTCTATATTTATATATATATATATATATATATATATATATATATATAATATATATATATATATAATATATATATATATGATCCACCGCGACCCCATGGACAACGTTCTTCCAGGTCTTCCTGTTCTCTACCATCTTCTGGAGTCCATTTAAGTTCACACCTACTGCTTCAGTGACTCCATCCAGCCATCTCATTCTCTGTCGTCCCCTTCTTCTATTGCCCTCAATCTTTCCCAGCATTAGGCCCTTCTCCAGTGAGTCCTTCCTTCTCATTAGGTGGCCAAAGTATTTGAGTTTCAACTTCAGGATCTGGCCTTCTAAAGAGCAGTCGGGGTTGATCTCTTCTAGGACTGACCGGTTTGAACGCCTTGCAGTCCAAGGGACTCGCAGGAGTCTTCTCCAGCACCATAGTTCAAAGGCCTCAATTCTTTGGCGCTCAGCCTTTCTTATGGTCCAACTTTCACAGCCATACATTGCAACTGGGAAAACCATGGCCTGGACTATACGCACTTTTGTTGGCAGGGTGATGTCTCTGCTTTTTAGTATGCTGTCTAGATTTGCCATAGCTTTCCTCCCCAGGAACAAGCGTCTTTTAATTTCTTGGCTGCAGTCCCCATCTGAGGTGATCTTTGAGCCCAGAAAAATAAAATCTGTCACTACCTCCATTTCTTCCCCATCTATTTGCCAGGAATTGAGAGGGCCGGATGCCATGATTTTGGTTTTCTTAATGTTGAGTTTCAAGCCAACTTTTGCACTCTCCTTCTTCACCCGCATCAAGAGGCTCTTTAGTTCCTCTTCACTTTCTGCCATTAGAGTGGTATCATCTGCATATCTTAGGTTGTTGATATTTCTCCCGGCAATCTTAATTCCAACTTTTGTTTCATCTAGCCCTGCCTTTCTCATGATGTGCTCTGCATATAAGTTAAATAGGCAGGGTGACAGTATATAGCCTTGCTGGACTCCTTTCCCAATTTTGAACCAATCATTAGTTCCGTGTCCAGTTCTCACTGTTGCTTCTTGACCTGCTTATAGGTTTCTCAAGAGACAAATAAGATGGTCTAGTATTCCCATCTCTTTAAGAACTTGCCACAATTTGTTGAGATCCACACAATCAAAGGCTTTAGCATAGTCAATGAAGCAGAAATAAATGTTTTTCTGGAACTCCCTAGCTTTCTCCATGATCCAGCATATGTTGGCAATTTGATCTCTAGTTCCTCTGCCTCTTCGAAATCCTGCCTGTACTTCTGGTAGTTCTCGATCCACATACTGCTGGAGTCTAGCTTGTAGGATTTTAAGCATAACTTTACTAGCATGTGAAATGAGTGCAATGGTGCGATAGTTTGAACATTCTTTGGCATTGCC